CGTGCTCCCAAAACCCGATATGGTCCTCTGCTCCCGCCATACCTGCCCCTCCCACTGACCGTACCTATCACACCACCCTCTATTAGTCCCCCTGTCTCCTCCCTCACCACTCCGCGCCCCCCAGACTGGACTGGCCCCGGCCTCTGAGAGGGCTCCCCCAAGTCCCCTCGGGCCAATCCTGAACCCCCTAAAAACCCCGTGTAATGTTAATAGGTATGCGTATGTGTTCCATACGCATACCTATTAACATTAAGTGCAGCTATGGACTTCCATTTGTTGCTAAGTGAAAGTTGTGTTTTCTATCATCTTCCAAGCCAGCTCCACGTATGCAATTTCACCTGGTAATTATTACAACAGAAATATCTATACCAGATTATCTATATTAGCAGGACTACTCTTGGAACACCATATTCTAGATAATGAGACATACTTGTGTTATAAATGCAGCTGATCTAGCAACCTCTGATCAATTACCTTGAGCTTGCAATTCTGATGAGGTGGACAAACATCTTCATGGGCACATAGTAACTTTTAGGATGGTATGGTGCTTTGAATTTCAAGAGTACTGCTTGCATTCCCATGCGTGCTCTGAAGCATTTGTGTGTGTGTGTTTTAGAGTGACCGTGGATGTGCAAGTGGTATCTGTCAACAGCACCAAACCCCAAACATGACTTTTCCAGCTGTAGAGAGTAGCCAGGTAATCTTGAGGAAAGACACACCTGCTTTAAGGAATTGTTAACAGGTGATCTGTGAGGAGCCACACAGAGAAGCAGAACATTGTTTATTAGCACTTTAGCTACCTCATTGATGAACAAACATCTTAATTTTATAAAAAAATAATTTCTGTGTTTGATTGAATGGCATAGCTGTTTGAGAACCAGAACTAAAACCCCGAAAAGTTCAAACCAGAGGTAGTGAAATATTGCACATTAAATGAATTGTCCACATTCGCAGTACGTGAATTATTGTCTTAACATCTCCCTGCCTTTCTGACATGGGCATTTGGTAGAAGCCATGTTAAGCCACACATGATATTATCAGGCAGATAAAATAAGCTCTGTAATTCCAGTGATGATGTGATGACTTTATCTCCATGCAGGCTCCCATGCTTTTTGGTTTTGAAGTTGGGAATTTTTTTCCTCTTCATAATAACTTTTTTTTCTTTCTGATTATATCTCTTTATGGATGCAGCAGAGTTTGTGAGGTTGGCAGAGTTGCCGTTACTGGAGGACCTGGTGTTTGTGGGCAATCCACTGGAAGAGAAATACTCTGCTGATTCACAGAGCGCCTGGGTTGAGGAGGCAACCAAGCGAGTGCCCAAACTGAAGAAACTCGATGGTGAGAATTGAGGAAGAATAGCGTAGCATTAATAACGGAGCCAAACGTTCATATGAAAAGTTAAGCTTGGGAAAGTCCAGTTCAGTTGTGATTGTTCATTTTGAGTATTTTGAAAGTTAAATTATGATAAACATTTTACTGGACATTTTGCTTTCAACCAAATTGTTCAGCAAAGACCTACAGTAGACAAAAATCTGTAGATTTTTATTCCTATCAAATATTTGTTTTTAAAATAAAATATTGTAATTTAATAAATTGTTGCAATTAAAAACATTACAAAAAGCTGCTGCAACCACATATGTTGGAAGAGAGAGGAGATAAGCAAGTTGGAAATAAAGACTACCTCCCGTTAGACACTGATGTTAAAACTCTGATTTTATCTTAGGCTTTGGAATAATTTCTTCCCTGTATTTTTAAGTCTTGATCTGAACAAATAATAATAATAATAATTATTATTATTATTATTATTATTAGTATTAGTATTAGTATTAGTATTATTATTGGAAGGGACCTTGGAGATTATCTAGTCCAGCCCCCTGCTCAGGCAGGAAACCCTATACCATTGCAGACAAATGGTCGTCCAGTCTCTTCTTAAAAACTTCCAGTGTTGGAGCATTCACAGCTTCTGGAGTCAGGTTGTCCCACTGATTAATTGTTCAAACTGTCAGGAAATTTAGTTCTAGGTTGCTTCTCACTTTGATTAGTTTCCATCCATTGCTTCTTGTCTTGCCTTCAGGCGCTTTGGAGAATAGCTTGGCTCCCTCTTCTTTGTGGCAGCCCCTGAGATATTGGAACACTGCTATCATGTCCCCCCTCGTCCTTCCCTTCATTAAACTAGACATACCCAATTCCAGCAACCGTTCCTTATATGTTTTAGCCTCCAGTCCCCTAATCATCTTTGTTGCTCTTCTCTGTACTCTTTCTAGAGTTTCAACATCTTTTTTTTACATTGTGGTGACCAGAATAGATGCAGTATTCCACTGTGTTGGATTTTTTGGCATCTGCAGCACACTGCTGGCTCATATTTAAGTGATTGTCCACTAGGATTATGAGATCCCTGCCACAGTTACTACTATTGAGCAAGGTTTTTCTTGCCTAAATGTAGAATCTTACTTTTTTCACCATTGAATTTCATTTTGTTAGATAGTGCCCAATGTTCAAGTCTGTCAAGATCCTTTTGTATCTTAAGCCTGACTTCTGGAGTGTTGCCTATTCCTGCCAGCTTGATGTCATCTGCAAATTTGATGAGTTCCCCATCTATCCCCTCATCCAAATCATTGATGAAGATGTTGAAGAGCACTGGGCCCAGAACAGAGCCCTGGGGCACCCCACTACACATTTCTCTCCACGTAGATGCAGTTCCATTGAGGACCACACACTGAGTACGGCCGGTCAGCCAGCTACAAATCCATCTGGTGGTGATGCTGTCTAACCCACATTTTTCTATCTTATCAAGTAGTAGGTTGTGGTCTACTTTATCAAAAGCCTAACTGAAGTCCAAGTAAATTATATCCACAGTATTCCTCTGGTCCACTAATTTTGTCACCTGGTCAAAGAATGCAATAAGATTTGTCTGGCATGATCTGTTTTTGACAAACCCATGTTGGCTTTTGGTAATGACTTTGTTTGCCTGTAGGTGTTCGCTGATTCATTGCTTGATTATCTTTTCCAGAATCTTCCCAGGTATTGAGGTCAAGCTGATAGGTCTGTAATTTTCTGGATCCATTTTTTTCTCTCTTTTGAAGATGGGAACTACATCAGCTCTTTTCCAGTCCTCTGGTAGTTCCCCAGTACTCCAGGATCTTTGAAAGATATAATTCAGTGTTTTTGAGATCATATATGCCAGTTCCTTTAGAACTTTGTGGTGTAATCCATCTTGTCCTGGTGATTTGAACTCGTCTAGGCTGGACAGGTGCTCACTTACCATTTTCTTGCCTATCTTAAGTTGTGCTGATATAAATAACATCATGGGAGAATTGGTGGATGCATTAATAAATTCACTAAAGAAGTGGGTTGGGCAGTCATTTGTTTTACTATTTTTATGCTAATTTTTAATTTAGTTTTTCAGTAATAATTTTAAGAAAAACAGAGTCTAGCTAAGAATTCCTTTAAATTCTTGTTAATAAACTTTACCAAAGTGATATATTCTTATGAGTCTTCACACACACAAACACACAGCACAAAGTTGAAGAACTGGAAGTGATAGGGAAAGGAAATGGAAGAAAATGTAATAATGACTGTTGTTATTTATTTATTTATTTATTTATTTATTTTAGGTATCCCGGTTATAAAACAGGAAGAAGGTGAAGAAGGAGAAAACTAGCATCTTTTCTTTCACATTAAATTATTGATGTATCTCCAGCACTGTATAGGATGTGATGCTTTTGTATGAATATGTCTTTAAAGAAAAATTTAGGTAACTTTTTAACTGATTCATCTCCGTGTTCTTCTCACCCAAAGAATTATTACTTTTTTATTATGAATGTTTACTTTTTATTTAATACCTGGAGTTTTTTTTGCAAGTGTATGATTTTTTTTTAAAGAGTAGATTTCTGTAAAGCACGTGTTAAATGGTTTTCTCTAATCATTTGAAAAATGGCAGAGGGGTTCTATATAGTATGGCTTTTAAAAAATATTTTTCTTTTAAAGAAAGGATTCAAATAGCGATATGCTTTAACATTTATCAAGTGTCTCATGTTTTTTTCTCCTGGGTTAATATGCAATATTAGATGAAAAAAATGAAGGCAGTTTCTTTGTTGTAGGCGAAGTATTTCTCTCCTCCTTTGGTTTAATATGCTGGCTGAATTTTCCTTTACATACTTTGTTTTAAAGAAGATGAAACTCTTAAGCAAAGGTTTGTGCTGATTATATGTTACAGAATGGCTGAAGTCCTTTATTATTTTGGAATCTGAGTAATCTGAGAAGAGAAAACAGCTGTCAAAAGAAATTGAGATATAGCAGGTTGTTCAAAACTAAGATTCCATTTTGGTAATTGATAAATGACAGCTGAAGAAACAACAGGAAAGAAAGAAGAGAAAAGCAATAAAGCTGTAGGATATATAGTGTACGTGTTCCAATGCAGTTTATTTTTTGATAAAGAAGACTATAAGCTGTCTTTGTCAAAGCCTTCTCCCTCCCTAGAATTTTTACTGATATGACTGGACATTTTAGTCATTCCCGAAGATGGAAAAGAGAGAAATAAAGTAAGATGTTACTATTTTGTTGAAAGTAAAATTTAATTTTATACGGCTTGCAGCAGTTTTTCTCTGCTCTGTTTTTTTCTACTGAAAAGTATTGGCTCTGACAATCCATTTCTCAGCTAACAGATGACAGGCTGTTATGGGAATAAACACTATGGAACACAGTGAGGCTCATTTCTGTTTTACACAAACGCTGAGCCTATGCCCAGGAATATTCTTTAGCCTTTGGATTTATCATCACCACTTAAATGTGGCAGTTGGTTAATATACTTACCTGTATGATTGTCTCAAATCCATGTGTTTATTAGGCATTAGACAGTTACCATTCTGAAAGAATTTTGCAATTCATATTTTTTTTAAGAGGAGAGTTCCTTACTACTATAGGCTTGGTTACGTCAAAGAACAATCTTCCAAGATATTTCACAAAGTCTCACTAGAGTTTTATTGTTCTTGCACATCCACATATTGGATTTTTAATTTGTTTTTTACTTTCATCCTATTTATATTTAACCTTAATTGTTTCTGTGAACCAATCCATGTAGATGCACCATTTTTAACAAAGATATTTATATGTTAGGTTTAGTGCTTTGCATTGTTTTTCTAATATATTCTCATTTGTATCTTTATTGTTGTCTTCACATTAGGCCAGGTGTAGGTAATCTTTTGTTGTCCAGGAGCCCAGCTTAATACTGGGGAAGAGGTTGCAAAATGAATGGAATACTTCACATAAATGAGCAGGGTTATGTTCAGGGTTACAGAGTAGAATACTAGATTTGAAAGGCAGCTATAAACTGAATAAACAGATGTTTTAGGGCTTACGCTACTGTACAGGTGTCATCTTTTCTTATTTCAATAAATGGGAAATGATGCTATCAGTTTTCAGCAATCATGACAAGCTTTAGGAAACTTTAGCGCCATAAAAAGAGGCCAGACTGCATGGCATGATGTCCTTAGATTATAGGTTGCTAGGTTCTGCTTTAGGCAATAAGTCTGCTTGGTGCAGTGGAAATTACTTCTGAGTAAACATGTATAGGATTGCACTGCTCGCTGCTGAGGAAGTTTGTGAACAGATAAATGATTATAGTTCTTGATGTAGAACTTTTTCTTTTTAACCGTTTAAAGTAAGGCACTGTGGAAGGCACTGTGTGTCCCAGACCAGTGATAGTCATTTATTTACATCCTCTACTTTGCATCTTAACAATTGATTTTTCTCTCAGTACCTGTGAGGCAGGAGAAACTGGTGAACTAATTAAGCATTGTCATATCTGGGGTACAAAAATTGGGCCTGCAAACATTGGGGCAGTTGCTGGATGACAATAAACAGTCAGGGTATTGTGTATCTCTTTCCTTTTTCATCTACTGGTCATCCAGATTTTTGTAGCCCGGATAACCTTTAACTGGGCAAAACAGCGCCATAGAGCAAAACCTTTTGACTCAAAGTGCTTCAGATGAGCTAACCTAACCAAATTCATCCAAAATCTGGGACCCATAACTCTTGTGGAATGGATATTTTGATTTTGTAACACAAACATTTTCCTAAAGCACCTTATGACATAATGCAAGAGCCATAAAAACATTTCTGGTGCTGATGTTCGACTGTGCTATACAGTTCAACATAGGCTATTTTCAAGGCAGAAACATCTCTGAATGTATCCCAGCTTTTCCAGTGAAGGCAGTGCATTAGAAGCTCTGTCATTGCTGAAGACATTGAGAAATCTGGTAAGGAAATTTCTCTGAAAGGATGACAGCCACAGGTCACGGGTTGCCTATGGATTGGATATTATAGTGTGGGTTTAAGAGGCTTGTTCTCTGCAAGGACTTGCTCTTGAGGCATTTAGCTTGCTTGGAGTTAAGATAAAGGCAGGGTTCTTGCTAGTGAAGTGTCAAATGTCCAGTCACCTCCAAGGGATCTGGGATACAGGCAGCTCTAAATGCCAAATTGGTTCTTTTCATCCCATTCTTGGTATCCCTCAAATGGTCAATGCATTTGAAGGGGAAAGTCAGCAAAATGTTTGGACTAGCAATTTTTGTGGAACTTGGATTGAGTTCAGCTTAGCATTCTTTTTGATGTTGATGGTATAGCTCAGGGGTAGGCAACCTTGGCTATGCTGGCTCAGGAATTCTGGGAATTGAATTCCACGAGTCATAAAAGAGCCAAGGTTGCCTACCCTGGTATAGCTAGTGTGATATTAACCATGCAAGTAATGCCATAATCTTAGAAATCTCTATACTTTTTGTCTTGAAAACAGTTTTTTCAGAGAGAGTTCTGCCACTTCACCTACTTCTTGTTATTTGAGATCCCTCACATATACTGTGTAATTGTATCTGGGAAGCAAGATGAAACACATTTCCTGGGGAGGAAATATCTAAAATGAACAAGACCAGTAACTAGGGGATAATCTATGATTGTTCAGAAACCATGTTTAATTTTCTCTGTTCATGTCATGACAAACAAAATTGTTATACACTAATAGCTTTTTTTTTTTACAAACCCTTTGTATAACTCTTTTGAATGCAATGGGATACCTAGGTTTAGGAGTGGGTGATAGGAACATAACAACACATCTTTCTTTAGCAAATAGCATCTTAGTAAGAATTAGTGCCTTTCTTAAAAGAACTTATAGATGTTATTGGCACTGGTGTTTCTTTCAGGAGATTAGGTGGAAATCCTTTACTATATCCAGCATCTTTTTGTTGCTTGGCTTGTAACTATACTACTTGTGCCCTTTGTGTCAGCTGCATTGCTGACATAATCCCGATGTAATTTACTATAACATTTAGAGAAAAATAAAAATAAAAATTTAAACGGAGGAAAAATGAGGCATTTGAAAATTTAACTGTTCTGTCTCTTGCCGAATGATCATGTATGATCAACAGGCATATTTTTTTATAAAAAAAAACCAACAGGTTTTTTTAAAATAAAGAATTAAAATATATTTATAATTCAAGTTTATTTTTGGTATGCTTATAGAAAAATGTGATCCTGTAACAAGTGTTGCTTTAGTGATTAGCTCAATTCCCTGTTTTATTTAGCCAGTACTAATTGTAATGCTTGCTTGTATAGAAGTTGGCTTAATGTTATATTTTTAAGAACATTGAATTGCACTGGTGTCTCCAGACCCATAGACAAACTCATAGGTTTGCTGCAGTAGGGAAAAGGAGAAGCAAAGGGAATATTTTTGGATTTTAAAAAAATTGTAAAGCTGGCAAGAATTTGATGAAATAGATGCATATTCCATTTATATAGATTCAGTGTGCAACAGATTGTACAGTGCTGCACTGGAATGCAGTATAAGATGTAATTCATAAATCAAAAAGCAGTGGTACTTGTGGAAAAGCCTTTTACAGTAACTACCGGAAGATTCTTAAGGAACAGTATAATTAGAAGGCTTTCGCCATGATACTATTTACAAGTATAATAAAAGATGATAATACAGCTTCTTTCAAAAGGAAAGTGATGCTTAAGACTTGGAATTTGAAGTGGAATGATTTTTCCCTAAAGCTATGAATTATAATGAAATCTACTACCAAACCATTTCAGTGCCATTTCTTCCACAACTTAGAACGTGCAAGTTACACAAAGAAGTTACTAGGAGCCTATGTAAAAATAGGGCTAGTGATAGAGAACTTCTGACTGCAGTCTTTGCCACACATTTCTTTCCATTTGTTTTTAATCTTCCTGAAGACTTTTCTTGAAGGCTACTCCACATCTTGCAGTAAAAGCTTTTGCTTTTGTAGCATGTTATCTTTATTTCTCTAAATGACAGATAGATGGCTCAGCATGATCTGGAATGTCCTTTCCAAATTGCATACAGAAGAGTTTCTTTTTTTAATAGTGAAGCAACATTTCTGTTGTGAAAAGCAGTTGGTAGGATAGTGAAATTTTATCAACCAGGTAATGTTAGACAGAAGATGAAATAGACGAGGCGAATATTGGGTTGATACGACATTACAGTAAAAATGTTCCAAATAATGTATTTCTGACCTTGTTGAAATGGATTAGTTTGTAGTGCAAAACAGAAATCCAATTGCTAAAATAAGGAGTGGGGTTTTTTTTTTAAAAAAATTGCACTTTAAAATTATGCACTGGACGCTGATAGGAAGTAATGTAAATGGTTGTGTTACGATATGTGGGTTATGCCGAGAAATCTTCTTGGCAGAGCAACAAATAAAAAGGACTTCCTTCTAGTTGCTCTGAGCAGCTGTT